ACTTTGGGTAGTTTCAAATTTAGGGTGGATAAGTACATGAGTGGGAGGGGTTGAATTTGAGTGGGACTCGCATATCAGAGCTTATTTCTTGGGTATCATTGAAAATTGGGTTGGTCAAGTGTTTTGTTAGTGGGATGGATTGTAAAGGACCTGCCTAGTATGGGCCAACAGGCCTGCTGCAGTGTTCCTCCTTTCTTATGTTCTTATGCAGTGTTACTCCCTTATCCACTACACCAATGAAACCCAGCCTCTCCCACTCATAACATAAGAAAGGAGGAACACTGCAGAAGGCCTGTTGGCCCATACTTGGCAGGTCCTTCACAAATCCAACCCACTAACAGAATTAATGCTACCCACTGCCACTGCCCAGGTTCCCTTCTTGACCTGAGGACTCACAACAGGGGGTCTACTACGAATCCTCGTTTTCCTCCGTCAAGGGCCGTATCTCTTTTTCACTACCCTTAATTCCTCCTTAAGCTGTTGGTAAAGTTGCTCAGTGGAGGGCATCTTGATTCAGTCCGTGGAGAGTACACTAGACACGTCCTCACTGAGCTAAGTACAGGTCACCACTAAGCTAAGTACAGGTCAAATATATGAGTGGGAGGAGCTGGGTATGATTGGTGTCGTGGGTACATAATAACATGACAGGAGGAACACAGCAGTAGGCCTGTTGGCCTAGACCCCACCTTCATTCTGAAATTCGAAACATTGCTGGGCCCAAGGGTTTCAGATAAAGGCATGGGGACTGTGGAAATATAAACACTTATGCAGTATAATGGGATCCTTTATTGACAATGTTTTGCCAACACAGTGGACTTTATCAAGTCACGAACAGATTGAGATCTGTTTGTGACTTGATAAAGCCCACTGCGTGGGCAAAAGCGTTGTTTACCTGGAGAGAGTTCCGGGGGTCAACGCCCCCGCGGCCCGGTCTGTGACCAGGCCTCCTTAGGTCAGTGTCCCAGGATGCGACCCACACCAGTCGACTAACACCCAAGTACCCATTTTACTGATGGGGAACATAGACAACAGGTGGAAAGAAATACGTCCAATGTTTCTACTCTGGCTGGGAATCGAACCCAGGCCCTCGCCGTGTGAAGCGAGAGCGTTAACCACCAGGCCACCATTATACCACATTATACTGCTTAAGTGTTTATATTTCCATTGTGTTGGTATTTTATACCATTTATTTCCAGCATGGGGACTGTAATAATAATTTATCTTAATAGGTCTTGTTCTTATTACTTTTCCTTTCATATTCATAGGGAAGTGAAATACGAATCTTTCTTCCGTAAGTCATGCATGTTGTAAAAGTCAGGTAAAATGCCGGGAGCAATGGGCTAGTAACCCCCTTTTCCCATGTAGCTTACTAAAAAAAAAAAAAAAAAAAAGAAAACCATCAGAGTGGGATGTTTGAATGTGTGGGGATGTGTGAATGATAAAGAGATGACTGTGAATGTTATGAATGAAAAGAAGCTGGATGTCCTTGCTCTAAGTGAAACAAAACTGTAAGGGGGAGGAGAGTTCAGTGGGGAGAAATAAATGGGATTAGGTCAGGGATTTCTAATTAAGCTAGAGCTATAGAAGGAGTAGCAATAATGTTGAAGGATAAGTTATGCCAGGAAAAGAAGGAATATAAATGTATAAATTCACAGATTGTGGAGTAAAATAAGGGTTGGATGTGAAAAGTGGGTTATAGTAAGTGTTTATGCACCTGGAGAGGAGACAAGTGTAGAGAAGAGAGATTTTGGGAAATGTTGAGCAAGTGCATGGGGAGTTTTGAACCAAGTGAGAGAGTACTTGTGGTTGGGTATCTCAATGCTAAAGTGGTTAAAAATGTTGTAGAGGGAGTAGTAGGTTAATTTGGGGTCCAGGGGTAAATGAAACTGGGGAGCCTTTAATTGAACTATATGTAGAAAGAGGTTTGGTCATAATGCATATTTTATGAAAAAGAGGATAAATAAGTATACAAGATTTGATATAGCACGTAATGAAAATAGATTATGTATTTGTGGATAAAAGGTTGATGGGTAGGCTTCAGGATGTACACTGTTTATAAAGGGGGCAACAGATATATTGAATCATTATCTAGTTGTAGCTACAGTTAGAGTAAGAGGTAGATGGGACAAAGGGAAAATGGCAACAGTAAGTAAGAGAGAGGTGAAAGTTTATAAACTAAGGGAGGAAGAAGTTAGGGTGAGATATAAGCAACTATTGACAAAAAGGTGGGCTAGTGCAAGTATGGGTAGTGGGGTGGCTGAAGAGGTATGGAAAAGTTTTAAAAATGCAGTATTAGAATGTGGGGCTGAAGTTTGTGTCTATAGGAGGGTGGGTGCAGGAAGAAAGAGAAGTGATTGGTGGAATGATGAGGTAAAGGTTGCAATAAAAGAGAAAAAGGTAGCTTATGAGAGGTGTTTACAGAGCAGAAGTGATATAAGAAGGGCAGAGTATATGGAGAGTGAAAGAAAAGTGAAGAGAGTGGTGAAAGAGTGCAAAAGGAGAGCAAATGATAGAGTGGGAGAGGCACTGTCAAGAAATTTTGCTGATAATAAGAAAAATTTTTAGAGTGAGATAAACAACTTTAGAAAGCCTAGAAAATTAATGGATTTGTCAATTAAAAACAGAGTAGGGGAGTTAGTAGATGGGAAGCTGGAGGTATTGGGTAGATGGTGGGAATATTTTGAGGAACTTTTAAATATAAATGAGGAAAGGAAGGCAGTAATTTCATGCGCTGGCCAGAGAGGTATAACATGTTTTAGGAGTGAAGAAGAGCAGGATGTGAGTGTGGGGAAGATGCGCATGGCATTATGTAGAATGAAAGGGGGTAAACAGCTGGAACTGACGAGATCATGACAGGAATGTTAAAAGCAGGGGGAGATATAGTGTTGGAGTGGTTGGTATTTTTGTTTATTAAATGTATGAAAGAGGGGGAAGGTACCTAGGAATTGGTAGAAAGCATGTATAATTCCTCTATATAAAGGGAAGGGGGACAAAAGAGATTGTAAAAATTATAGGGGAATAAGTTTACTTAGTATACCATGTAAAGTGTATGGTAGAGTTAATATTGAAAGAAATAGAGGCAAGACAGAGAGTAGGATTGCAGATGAATGAGGAGGCTTTAGAATGGGTAGGGGATGTGTAAATCAGGTGTTTACATTGAAGCATATATGTGAACAGTATTTAGATAAAGGTAAGGAAGTTTTCATTACAACTGTGGATTTAGAAAAGGCATATGATAAAGTGAATAGGGGAGCAGTGTGGCAGATGTTGCAAGTGTATGGAATAGGTATTAAGTTACTAAATGCTGTAAAGAGTTTTTGAAGATAGTGAGGCTCAGGTTAGGGTGTGTAGGAGAGAGGGAGACTACTTCCCAGTAAAAGTAGGTCTTAGACAGGGGTGTGTAATGTCACCATAGTTGTCTAACATGTTTATAGATAAAATTGTAAAAGAAATATATGCTAGGGTGTTGGTGGGATTAAATTATGGGAATCAAATACAGAATGGGAGTTGACACAGTTACTTTTAGCTGATGATACTGTGCTTTTGGGGGATTCTCAAGAAAACATGTAAAGGTTAGTGGACAAGTTTGGGAGGTTGTGTAAAGGTAGAAAATTGAAAGTGAACATAGATAAGAGTAAGGTGATGAGGGTATCAAACTATTTAGATAAAGAAAAATTGGATATCACATTGGAGGGAAGAAGTGAATGTTTTCATATACATGTATTTGGGAATTGACTTGTCAACGGATGGGTTTATGAAGGATAAGGTTAACCATAGAACTGATGAAGGAAAAAGGTGAGTGATGCATTGAGGTATCTGGAGAGACAAAAAAAAACGTCATCCATGGAGGCAAAGAAGGGAATGTACGAGAGTATAGTGGTACCAACACTTAAATGGGTGTGAAGCATGGGTTGTAAATCATGTAGCGAGGAGGAGGCTGGAGGCAATGGAGATGTCCTGTCTAAGGGCAGTGTGTGGTGTAAATATGAAGAGAATTCAGCCCTCTTCAGCCCCTCTTCAGAGGACCGAAAAGGGGCTGTTGAGGTGGTTTGGTCATTTAGAGAGAATGGAACCAACTAGAATGATTTGGAGAGCTTATAAATCTGTAGGGAAAGGAAGGCAGGGTAGTGGGTTGTCCTGAAAAGGTTGGAGGGAGGGGCTGAAGGTGGTTTTGTGGGCGAGGGGCTTGGACTTTTAGCAAGTGTGCGTGAGCGTGTTAGATAGGAGTGAATGGAGACAAATGGTTTTTGGGACCTGACGAGCTGTTGGAGTTTGAGCAAGGTAATATTTTGTGAAGGGATTCAGGGCAACAGGTTAGCCAGACTTGAGCCCTGGAAATTGGAAGTGCAGTGCCTGCACTTTAAAGGAGGGGTTTGGGATACTGGCAGTTTTGAGGGACATCTAAACTACCGTATCTGAGTGCCTCTGCAAAAACAGTGATTATGTATAAATGAGTGAAAGTATTGAATGGTAATGAAAGTTTTTTCTTTTTGGGTTTTTCTTTCTTGTTGGGTCACCCTGCCTCAGTGGGAAATAGCCGATGTGTTTAAAAAAAAAAATGCTCATATTTATATTCCTACTCTTGTAAATGGTGATGTTAGCATGCTTCTTGCAAAATAGTGTTTGAATGAAAAGCAGTTATTGCAGTGCCTCTTTTTGCATCACCCTTCCTCATTGAGAGACTGTGTATTAAAAAAAATCAAACTAAAACTGAAGTAGAATTGCTAGGTAGGACTTCTTAACTTAAAATGTCTAATAATGTTGTCAAGACCTCTCCCCTCCCCCCTAGGTTGAAAAGTTGATCTAAGTATGTGGTGCTAACATGGGACATTTGATGTGTATATGCAAGATAATCCACAATGTTGTATAGTGGAAAAGCTTATGCAATATAAATAGATACATAACAAGGTTTTGACAACACAGGAATGTAATTAATCTATGTTTTGTGCCAGGAATATTTCAAATACAGTGTTTTTATTATATATTTTGGTCATTCGTAGGTTCACTTGGCAAGTTTGTCCAAAGTTCCAGTATCTTTTATGAAACGAATTTCAAGCTACTTAAAAAGAAGAACACTGTTAGTTATTCATCATGTTGTTGTGGCTACCGTCTTATATCCGGTAAGTAGCTAACCTGAAGCAAGAATTGTCAGTACTTTCTTGTGCTTGTTCTTTTTAAGATATTGTCTTAGGATTTTAAGTAGCAAACAACATTGCCATATCCTTTGTAGCCAAATTGAAAATTAGTCATGATGTAAATTATGAAAGTTTAAATTGTAAGCTGTAAACCAGTTGATTTGTTAAATGGAAATAAATGGTATAAAATACTGACACAATGGAAATATTAACTTGAGCAGTATAATGTGATCCATTATTGACAACATTTTGCCCACGCAGTGGATTTTATCAAGTCACGAACAGATCTACCTGGGTGAAAGATATGTGAGCATTCTCCACCTTTCGCCATCCTATAAATAGTCATGTATCTTTCACCCAGGTAGATCTGTTTGTGACTTGATAAAGCCCACTGCATGGGCGAAACGTTGTCAATAAAGGATCACATTATACTGCTTAAGTGTTTATATTTCCATTGATCTGTTAAATATTGAACTCATACCAGTGAGAAAAAAGTATAATTGTAAACTTATTTTTTTGGCATTTGTACTTTTTTTCTTGGGTAAAAAGCTTGAAGTACCATTTAGTGGTCTGCTACATTGTCTTCACCTCCATATTGATGTTTTAGTGATTGTAATTTTTCCATAATGGGTTGTACTGAACAAAGTGGGTTCAAGTGTATGTATTAGAAAAATATTGTCCGCCAATGTGCTAAGGCTTAAACTGTTGTGCAAAATGTAACTTAACAATTAAACTGTCCAAACATACATCTATGTTTTCACTGCCAGCGCTCCAAATATTTTGAAAAAAAAAAAAAAAAAAAAAAAAAAAAAATTTTGGCGCTCGATGCTCACTTGATGGCAACATGGAGTTCTGCCGCTTGCAGAAGTGTTGCTGATGTACATTTTTTCTCGTTTTTATTTTAATTTATATAATTTTTATGTTCTGATAATTACAATTTATAATAGTTCTTGTGATTTCACAGCCAATCTTTGTTCTGACACTAATATTAGGTACTGAAATAGTACTCAAATAGCCACAAACACACTGACATGTGTACATTTTCAACTGCTTTGGTCATTTACTATTGTCTATAAATATATACAAAGTATTTATAGGTTCCAGCAATGTTTTAGACACACTGGAGTATGTATGAAACTCCTTGAAACATGGTGTATTTTTATTGTAAGACGAGAGTCACTCCACTGCTGACAGTGCAGCAGTGGAGTGACACTTGATTGTGCACTGCTCCAGGGAACCCTGGCTTTATTTGTTTTCACTGGTACACAGATATATATGTCTGTCTGTCTGTCTAGCTCTGCATATCTGCCTTTCTGTCTGTCTGCCTGCATGTATCTTGTCTTTCTGTCTGCCTGTGCTTGTCTGTCTGTCTGCCTGTGCATGTCTCTCTGCCTGTGTGTGTGTCTTTCTGTCTGCTTGTCTCTGTGTCTCAGAGGGCGGCTCATAAACCAACAGGTATTACACACGATGCAGAGTCGTCACATCTGATTCCTGATCAAGTGAAAATGCGTATTACTTGCCAGTCATTCTTATTATGCCTTATATCTACAAGCACTGTATAACACTTTTCCTGAATTTTTGGGGTTATCCTAGGTAATTTACACTATGTATAATAACTGTACCTATGTGTACCTGTGAGAGAGAGACAGAGACAGAGATAGACAGACAGATATATAGAGAGACAGAAATAGACAGAGACAGACAGACAGAGAGACAGCCAAAGTCAGCCAGCCAGCCGCCCAACCGGTCAGCTGGCCAGCCTGCCGAATACATATTACACATGTTCCAGAATCATTTTTCTTTACTTAGGGCATAGGTTATAGGACATTCTGGCAGGATGACACTACCATTGGTATAAAAAATTTAAGGATGTTGCACAAATGTTGCACATGAGTTATTATTGAGGCTTTTTTTTATACTTTCTCGCCACTTGTGGCCGCATCCATCTCAAAGCCACTAAACTCTGGGTCAGCATCACTTTCCTCTTAAAAGGGGAGTGTTAATATGACATGACATCAGGGAATCCCTGGTGTTTGCCATGCTATTTGCTCTAGTTGGCACTCAGTTGAACTGGTGCTCCTACAAGGTACAAAGTGGTCCCAGATTTTTTTAATACTGCACACACTGAGTGTTAAGACTCATTCTGTACTGACTAGGCATCTCAGGCCAATCATGCCAAATTTGGAGGCAGGAAAAATAAAAAGATCTACATTTGGAGCACTAGTGGTACTAACATAGATCTACATTTGGACAGTTAAGGGGTTGAAAGTTTTATTATAAATTTGTACTTTAAGCACAGTATTTAAAAAAAAAAAAATATTATGAAGGAACTGTGCATGTCATAAGCTGCAAAGACTAGGCTTAGTCTGTAATTATACTTGTTCAGTGACTGAAGATGATTTATAAGACTATGTTACTATGCTACTTGTTATCATTCATGGTTGTTCCAGAGACTAGAAACCATTGTGTGATTATTTCTTCATCTTTAACTTACCATAGTTATTGCATAGAATGTGAAAGTATGTTGTTGAGTGGGAAGTCAGGTATTTTGAAAATATTTCTGTATGTCTCATCATTTTCAATCAGAGCAGCATTCTGTTTTACATAGGTATTTACATTTCATTGTTGTACCCTTGTCAGATTGGAAACAAGTGAATGTCAGGATTGAGATTGGTGAAATAGTCAATATCCCAGGACTGATGGGCACTGGAATATCCTGAGCTACTTATGGTCATAGAAAAGTGGTCACAACAAGTAACAAATCAAATTAAGCACTCTCTGTTAGTTAAATAAATCAAGGCAGTAAGATGGTACAGTATTCTAATTACAGAAAACCCTTGATTTAACTGGCCTCAGTTCAACAGACTTTGGAAATATGGAAGAAAACCTGTTGGGTCAATTGATTTGGAATCGACAAAGTGCAATGATTAAAGAATTAACCGTTTTGTTACAATCATGGCAAAATAATCTTGTGTCTATATAGGTACCATAGTCACCATTATGGTCACTTGCTAGCCCACATTCGTCAGGTAACTCCAGGGATTGCTCTAGTTAAACAGGTAGGTTAGTAAGGTAGTATTTCTTTTAGATCAACAGATTAGTTAGTGAGGCTGACTTGTTAAATGCCATATTAAGTGGGTTGGCATTAAGCTTAATATTTAAGGTATTTCTACATTAAATTGACAGTAATCATCAAGTAGTCTCATAATGCACAGACTTTGGAAACAGGAAGGCCTCCTTCCTGAAAATCTTTCCATATTGTATAGTATTGTTTAGATTTGTTTATGCTGGTGAGGGGGCTCTTGATTCACAATGGTCCTATCCTTCTTTTCCTTGGATCGAACTTGATTGCCTCCCATTTCTTCCAGGAGCTGCTGGGTAATTCCACCATGTTGTAGGGTCACAGCAGGACTAAATTTTTTGATATGCTAGTTATTATAACTAACCATTTGAAAGTTGTAAAAGTTATTTTGTTATGATCTTTATAGAAATACGTGCTGAAGATATTAATCACAAATAGATTTAAAATAATGAAAAATAAATTTCATACATATTCTTGAAAGTGCCATGATGTAGATCATTTGCATGGATGTTAAATTCTTATTTGTATTTACATTTGTGGTAATAGGTTGGTAGACAGCAACTGCCCAAGGAGGTACTACCGTCCTGCCAAGTGAGTGTGAAACTGAAACCTGTAACTTTTCTACAGGATGGTAGGATTGCTGGTGTTCCTTTTTCTGTCTTATAAACACACTGGATAACAGGTATATCTTGCTACTTCTACTTACATTTAGGTCACACTACACAGGCACGCACATGCATATATATACATACGCACATCTAGGTTTTTCTTCTTTTTTCTTAATCATTCTTGTTCTTCTTTATTTCCTCTATTCTCCATGGGGAAGTGGAACAGAATCTTTCCTCTGTAAGCTATGCGTGTCTTATGAGGCGACTAAAATGCCAGGAGCAGTGGGCTAATAACCCATTCTACCTGTAGAAAATGCTTGCTTGAATGTGCGTGGATGTAGTGCAGATGATAAGAAAGAGATGATTGCTAATGTTAAGAATGAAAAGAAGTTGGATGTCCTAGCTCTGAGCAAAACAAAACTGAAGGGGGTAGGTGAGTTTCAGTGGGGAGAAATAAATGGGATTAAGTCAGGAGTATCTGAGAGAGAGCTAAGAAAGGGGTAGCAATAATGTTGAAGGATTAATTATGGAAGGAGAAGAGGGAATATTAATGTACAGTGGTACCCTGGTTTTCGTCTTTAATCCGTTCCAGAAGGTTGGCCGAAAACCGATTTGTACGAAAACTTAAGTAATACACCTACCATCCAACTTACGACCTGCTCGACATATGACCACTCAACTTACAACCATGTTTTGTTTGCAAGTGTTCTGGGAAATAAACAGCTGTTTGTGTTTTACAGAGTGTTTCTCCTAAACCTTACAGTGTAAGATACAGTACTAACAGCATAAAAAGTAAAGTAAAAAATGAAATACCAAATAAAACAATAAAATAAAATCATTACTTAATGTGATGCTGATATTCAGTAGTAAGGTTCGACTTGCGTCCATTTTGACTTGCAACCTGTTAGTCAGAACCAAGCTCGGTCGTAAGTCGGATGGTATGTATATTTCCCATAAGAAATACGTAATGTAAATCCAATTAATCCATTCCAGATACCCAAAAATATTAACAAAAAATACATTTTATAGAGAATAACTGTAGTTTTACATTCAGAAAACAACGAGAAATAAATATAAATGACTAATGAAATGGATAAAGAACATTTAACATCACTTTTACCTTTATTGAAGACTCTTGTTGGGTTATGGAAGACAGCGAGGAGGGGAGAGGGAGGAGAGGTTATTTTTTGGAAGGGGACTCCCCCTCCATAAGGACTTCAGGTATCAAAGCTCTATCCAGGGTTACATCCCTTCTTTGTCTTTTACTGGCACTAGGACCAGCTTGAGAGTCATTG